CTATCGTCCGACCTTGTATGCTGGATTGCACTATTTCACTATATTAAGGGGAGAGGGCGCCTTCACACACATATTCGGTGTGAAATATTTTCCGCCCACAAGCGGAGCGCTTCGGCGCCTCTGCGAAGCAAAGCGCGGCATTCAAAAACAACAACCAAAATTGCCGTCGCTTCCCTGCCCTGCAATGGCTGGAGCAGAAGGAGAGAGATTTTAGTCTCATTGGATCAGAGGAATGGCAGTGGAGCGGGCTTATGGGGCGTAGGCTCGCGATCTATCAATTACACTTGCCAGGTCTCTCTTCCGTTTGGACATTATTTACTCCGTCTCTCTCTCGGCACACACGTCGCCACCCTACTAGTTTCCATCACAGCTGTCTGCTGTCTGCCCAACTTAGCGGACTTGCGTTGGCTGATCAACCCGTCTTCGCGTCTGTGCCGGCCTTCAATGCAGCGCCCAACCGTCTCTTGACCGAGATTCATTGCACTATTCCACGCGCAAACGGCTACCCTAAATGTGCATAGACAACGCTCATGGTTCAACACGACCAGGGCGCAGTCTGGGAGCCGAGTATACTAAAAAGAGAGTTTAGCAGCCAAAACTCGTCAAAGCACACGTTGGGTTACCCCATCACCTAACAACGATGATGGCGGTTCCCACCCGTGAAATACACAACCTAACCAATATTGGGCGACGATGGCGCTCATGAGCCCACGTCCCCACAAACAGTAAGAGAAAGAGAGAGAGGAGGAGATGGGCCAATGTGCGGTCCCTCGCCCAATGTCTTATGCCTCGCTGGGGCAAAGAGAAGAGAAGAGGAGCGGATAAGGGAGGAGATTGGCCAACGTGCGGTCCCTCGCCCAATGTCGGCTGCCTCGCTGGAGCTGGGTAAAGAGGAGAGGAGCGGATAAGGGAGGAGATTGGCACACACGGTGGCGCTGCCGGCGCCGAGGATAGCAAGAGAAGGTGCAGTTTGATCTGATCATCTGGTTTGCTATTTCTCTAAGGCCAACGTGCGGTCCCTCGCCCAATGTCGGCTGCCTCGCTGGGGCAAAGAGAAGAGGAGAGGATAAGGGAGGAGATTGGCACACACGGTGGCGCTGCCGGCGCCGAGGATAGCGAGAGAAGGTGCAGTTTGATCTGATCATCTGGTTTGCTATTTCTCTAAGGCCAACGTGCGGTCCCTCGCCCAATGTCTTCTGCCTCGCTGGGGCAAAGAGAAGAGGAGCGGATAAGGGAGGAGATTCGCCAACGTGCGGTCCCTCGCCCAATGTCGGCTGCCTCGCTGGAGCTGGGGCAAAGAGGAGCGGATAAGGGAGGAGATTGGCACACACGGTGGCGCTGCCGGCGCCGAGGATAGCAAGAGAAGGTGCAGTTAGATCTGATCATCTGGTTTGCTATTTCTCTAAGGCCAACGTGCGGTCCCTCGCCCAATGTCTTCTGCCTCTCTCTCAATCTCACTATTTTGGCCGCCGTGATAGGCGCCGCCAACAGCAGCAGCTACCTGGTTGATCCTGCCAGTAGTCATATGCTTGTCTCAAAGATTAAGCCATGCATGTGTAAGTACAAGCCGATTTAAGGCGAAACCGCGAATGGCTCATTAAATCAGCTATGTTTCATTGGATCTGTAAACCCACTTACTTGGATAACTGTGGCAATTCTAGAGCTAATACATGCAATTGGTCTCTGACCGCAAGGGAAGAGCGCTTTTATTAGTTCAAAACTGGTCGGGCCCCGGTCCGTAACCCACCTGTGGTGAATCTGAATAACTTCGGGCTGAGCGCACGGTCTCCGCACCGGCGCCGCTTCTTTCAAGTGTCTGCCTTATCAGCTTTCGATTGTAGGTTATGCGCCTACAATGGCTATAACGGGTAACGGGGAATCAGGGTTCGATTCCGGAGAGGGAGCCTGAGAAACGGCTACCACATCTAAGGAAGGCAGCAGGCACGCAAATTACCCACTCCCGGCACGGGGAGGTAGTGACGAAAATAACGATGTGAGTCTCATCCGAGGCCTCGCAATCGGAATGAGTACACCTTTTAAATCCTTTAACGAGTATCCATTGAGGGCAAGTCTGGTGCCAGCAGCCGCGTAATTCCAGCTCCAATAGCGTATATTAAAGTTGTTGCGCTAAAAAAGCTCAGAAGTTGATCTCTGTTCCACCGACGGCACCGCCTCGCGTTTACTGTCACGCCCGAACAGTTACCGCTCGCACGATGCTCTTGTCGAGTGTCCCGAGGGCCGGAGAGCTTTATTTTGAAAAATTAGAGTTTCAGAGTAGGCTATTTGAATGGCCCGAATGGTGATGCATGGAATAATGAATAGACCGGTTCTATTTGCTGGTTTTCGAACCAGAGGTAATGACTAATCGGAACAGGCGGGGTATTCAGACAGACGCTAGAGGTGAACAATACCTTGGACCGTCAGAAGACTTAACCATTGCGAAAGCATTTGCCAAGGATGTTTTCATTAATCAAGAACGAAAGTTAGAGGTGTCCGAAGGCTTATCAGATAACGCCTTAGTTCTAACCATAAACGATGCCAACTTAGCGATCCGCTGGCGTTATTCCCATGACCTGGCGGCAGCTCGAAACCAAAGTTCTAAGGTTCCGGGGGAAGTATGGTTGCAAAGCTGGAACTTAAAGGAATTGACGGAAGGGCACCACCAGGAGTGGAGCCTGCGGCTTAATTTGACTCAACACGGGAAACCTCACCAGGCCCAGACACCGGAAGGATTGACAGATTGAGAGCTCTTTCTCGATTCGGTGGGTGGTGGTGCATGGCCGTTCTTAGTTGGTGGAGCGATTTGTCTGGTTAATTCCGATAACGAACGAGACTCTGGCCTACTAAGTAGTCGACGGATCTCCAGAAAATGGTGTCCAGTTCGCAACTTTCTTTAGAGAGGATAAGCGCAATTTTAGCCAAGAGACGAGATTGAGCAATAACAGGTCTGTGATGCCCTTAGATGTTCTGGGCCGCACGCTGGGCTACACTGAAGGGATCAACGAAGTTTTCCCTCCGAGAGGAGCGGTAACCTGCTCAAGCCTTTCTGATAGGGATTGGGGCTTGCAATTGTTTCCCTATGAACGAATTCCCAGTAAGTGCAAGTCATCAGCTTGCGCTGACTACGTCCCTGCCCTTTGTACACACCGCCCGTCGCTACTACCGATTGAATGATTTAGTGAGGCCTTCGGACTGGCGCTCTTGGATTGTCGGCCCCGTTGCCCGCGAGGGTTTTCTGGGGTCGTCGCCTCGAGCTGACGGAAAGATGTCCAAACTTGATCATTTAGAGGAAGCAAAAGTCGTAACAAGGTTTCCGTAGGTGAACCTGCGGAAGGATCATTAACAGAGAGAAAGAGAACGGGGCGCTCTTAAAACTACTACTACTACTCTCCTGATTTGGGCGGTCTCGGGCTCTGCTCTGGCAACTCCAGCAGCGAAAGAGGACAATCCCGGCCCCCGCACCAAAAATAGGTACCACCACGCTGTAGGTGGACCACACTCGGGCGAGAGCGCGAAGACCGGAGGAGGAGGACGGACGGGGCTTTGGACGGCTGCCCGTCCGTTCCTTACTACCGTCGAATAAGCCTCTTGACCCAAAAAGAGTGAAATTCAAGTGTCAAAAAACAACAACAAGTCGTCCGGCCAAACCCAAACCACAAACTTGGGCTATGTCTGTCAAACCCTTTCATTGAGACTCGACCTGTGATGGTTAGTCGCAAAAAGACCAAATGGCAAATACACAACTCTTTAACCGGGGGATCACTCGGCCTGTATGGTCGATGAAGACCGCGAAAAACCGCGGTCGGTATGTGAATCGCAAGAATACCAGATATCGGACAAGTTGAACGTATATTGGCGCGGGCGGCAGCCATATGAGCTTGTCGTCACTTCTACGAGGGTCGAAATATACATCCATCGTGGTTGCTGCGAACCGTGCCTGCTGACTGTTCTCGACACGTAGGGTAACCCGAACCGAAGCTTCCGCCTTTTGGTTTAATTGCTCATACCAGCGTAGGCGCAGTTCTCTTAAAAACAAGCAAGTTTATCACTAGCAAGTCCATGGACTTGGCGCACCCACATTCAACTGACAACAAGCGACAGTTGTCGCCAAGAATAACTGGAGGCGGCGCTCTTTTGCCTGCTGTCCACAGAGACACGAATGGCCGTCGGCCGCTCATGGCTGATGCTGCACATGTTCTAAGAGGCACTCCATCCCACGAAGAGGAAACGAAACCGGTCGGATATCTTTTAAGTAAGCCCCGCCGGAATTTCGTCTATCACCTCGAAAAGAGTGCTTGGCATGCATTGCAGTGGAACCTAAATTGATGAGTGCGCCTGGGCCCGCAGTCTACCATGTAGTGGTGCAGGCAGAGAGATGAGAATGCTTGGGTGACGCCGTGCTCTTCCTCACGCGCTCCTCCACCCTCTCCCACGGTCAGACGCGGTGTGGGCGTTCTCTTTGAGAGTTTGCCACGAGTCCACGTCTATCTCATGACTGGGAGGGAGGCAGGGGGAGTTCTCTCTAAACGCGTTAAAGACGGTGTTGCGCCTCATAACGGCGCTCGCCGGGATAGAGCACTAGTTCTGCAGCCGGAAAGGCCGCTCACGCCAATTAATACTGCGACTCTCGCTCTCTTTCTCCGGATAAACAAGTGCCACTGCTGTGGCATGCGGGAACGGGGAAAGAGGTCAAAGTTTAAGCGGCAAAGGTGCGGCCGAGTAAGGGCGGAACACGAGCGTATATGCATTAAAACTGTGTGTGTATATGACTCTGCGAGAGATGTTCTGCTGAAACACTTTTCCTATTGGCTATTTACCACTCAATGAGAAGGAACGGAGTCAGGGGTGGGAGTGCCGGCGCCATGGCCGCTGGTACCCCCGCGACAAGCCCCTCAAACCTTCCTGCCTGGTAATGTCGGTGGTGAAGAAAGTCGGTGGCAGAGCGTCTTCCGCTTCGTGGTTGGGGAACTTGTTCCCCCTAAGGATGATGAGACCACGATCGACCTCGTAGTAGGAGAGAGCTACCCGCCAAATTTAAGCATATTAATAAGCGGAGGAAAAGAAACCAACAGGGATTCCCTTAGTAAGGGCGACTGAACCGGGAAAAGCCCAGCGCATAACCTCGATGTCTTCGGGCACGAGGGGTGTTGCGTTTCAGAGGGTCCAGCACGCCGCCCCATACCGTCTAAGTCAAGCTTGAAAGCGGCCACTGCCCATGGAGGGTGACAGGCCCAGAGTGGCGGTGCCCGGTGAGGGTACAGATGGGACGGTCGGAAAGGGCCTCTGTAGAGTCGGGTTGCTTGGAAAGTGCAGCCCAAAGCAGGTGGTAAACTCCATCTAAGGCTAACAGACCACGACCGATAAAGCAACAAGTACCGTGAGGGAAAGTTGGAAAAGAACTTGAAGAGAGAGTTCAAGAGCACGTGAAACCGCGGCAGCTGTAAACGTGGGTGGAAACTCGAAGGCCTGGAATCGAGGGATTCAGCTCGTCGGCTGTCGGCTGGGTGGGTGCTGTAATTGAGCGACTCCAAAAAATGTCAGCGCGCCTGACCACGCGCGCGTCGGGCGTATTTCGCCGTAGGTCACCGCGACCTGCTGCCGGGGACGTCGAAGGCCCGGTCGACTGGTACTCACGCCGACTTTCTCTCAGCTCGGGCCTGGGGGAGACCCGCGACGTAAACCACCGGTGTCCTGGCTGCCTGGGCGACGGTCGCCGAGAAGAGCTTGGGCGTCAGCTGCTTCGGGCGGCGGTTTTGTTTCTCGCTGTGTGCAAAGGTCGGTGATCCACCCGGACCCGTCTTGAAACACCACGGACCAAGGAGTCTAACATAAAAAGTCAATAGCCTACTAAAACCCAAAGGCGAAATGAAAGGACGGGCGCCCGGGCAGCTGGGTAACAGCCTGCGCGCCTTGGGCCGATCCTTGACGTTCGGCTGCTCGGCGGCCGCCCCACGCCAAGCGGCCAAGCGTGACATTTCCGGCTCTGATCGTTGCGTGTGGTGGAGGTCAGCCGGGCGATGGTCGAAAGCGACCCCCCGCGGTGGGGGGGCGCAGGCCCGGGACTTGCCAAGACGCCGCGGTGCTGTCCGTCCCCGGAAGCGGGCCGTCGGTAAACGGCGGAGGCGCACTGGGGCAGGCTCGCGGGCAGTCGGCAAGTACCATGAGCATATATGTTGGGACCCGAAAGATGGTGAACTATGCCTGGCCAGGATGAAGCCAGAGGAAACTCTGGTGGAGGTCCGTAGCGATTCTGACGTGCAAATCGATCGTCGGAGCTGGGTATAGGGGCGAAAGACTAATCGAATCATCTAGTAGCTGGTTCCCTCCGAAGTTTCCCTCAGGATAGCTGGAACTCGCAGGGTGAATTTCATCCGGTAAAGCG